GCAACTAGCACCCCCCCCTAGACAACAGCTATACAAATAAAGCAACTAGCAAACTTTTACTTTATTATAAAATACTTATATAATAAACTAGTAAAGATAACCTACATGTCTAGAATAATACTATAAAAAAAGGTTAACCTTACTCTTCTAGTAGACTGCCTTAACATGTTAACAAATCTCTTTTAAGTACAACAAACTTTATACATAGCAAATACCCTTATTTTTATGTGTACAGAAGGGTATAGTCTGTCTAACTTTATAGAAGACTTTAAAGGCTAGACATAACAGGATTTTAACAACCTATCTTATACGTTTAAGTAAGAGCTTCTTTATGCTCTAGCTAAGCACAGGATCTATCCTGTAGGAAAGAGATGCTGTACGCAGGCTAAAAAGCTAGCAGGTGTTGCAAACTAGCAGTACACTATAGGCCCTATACAAAGAAGAAGAGGAAAGGATGTAGAGGATAGTATAAAAAAAAATAAAAAATAAGGTAAGGTAGGCAAGTAACTTAATTTATAAAAATAAAAAGTTACTAGTGTCTGTACGTAAGTACAGCTGTGTCTGTACACGCGTATAGCTAAATTAAGTTGCCTAAAACGTTAGCTATCTAGCCTGTGTGTTAGAGGCTATGTGTACTTAAGAGCCCTCTTTCTTTGTACAAAGAGAGAGGGTAGTAGTTAATAATAAGAAGATCTTTGCCTGCTCACCTCTTAGTACGCCCCTTGGGCGTACGTTCGTTCGATCGAACCTAGGTCAACCGACACTAAGTATAGTATCTAAAATAAAAATAAGTATAACTTTAATAAGTTAAGCTTTATAATAAGCTAAATATTAACTAGAGTAGTTATTATAACTTTAAAAAAATAAAAATAGCTAAAAGTAATATAATAAAGTAATAAAAAGTAGATAATAGTTATTTAAAGTATTAATATAATAAAGTAGGCTATAAAATTATAATGCTTTAAGTAGTAAATAAAGCTACTATATAATATAAATTATATAAAAGAAAGTAGATTTAAGTAAAAAAAACTTTAATAGTTAAAAATAAAGCTTATCTAACTACTTTAAAGAAGTTTAAAGCGCATAGTAATAGAAAAAAGCTAAAGATGTAAGTGTGTGCTAAAAAAAGTAAGCTAAGTTAAAGGTAATATAAGTAGTGTAATTAAACTAAGCATAACTTATATATATATAAGTAAGTAGTAAAAGTAGACTTTAAATAATATCTTATATTATATTACTTTATATAAGGCTAAAGTGGGCTGTTTTGCAAGAGAATAGGGTAGTTTTAGTAGGGGCTTAGCAAAAGTGGCCAGCTAACCTGTGTGGCCGGCCAACCTGTTAGGTACGTTATACATAGCTGTAGTATGTTACTTTAAGAGTGTTACATCTTATTTATAAGCCTAAAGCGTAAGCTGTATCTAACATTCTTTTAGCACATCTAAGTAGTGTTATTAGAAATGCATTAGTGTAGAAAAAGTAGTTTAATATAGTCTTAGCAAAAGAAAGCAACTTAGGTGTGTGAGCAACTTGCCTATAGTGTATGTTATAGATTAATTATATGTTCTTTATTACTCTTAAATTCTCTTCTAGTCCTTAGGCTGTAGAGAGGTATATGCTATGTTCTGTATAGATAGACTAAGATATTAGACACCTTACACTATTAATTCTATCTTTAGCATTAGATGTTGTTAAAGAGTTAGTTTTTTTAAAAGGCTTTTCTAATTAAGTTTATAGTAGAATTAAATCTAATATGTTAGTAATGCATTAAAAACATATTAATAATAGATTTGTAGATATTTTCTTAAACTAATTTATACCACTTTTTATCTAGGCTAGAGGTTTAGACAAGATAAGCAACACTATCTTTACTTAACTCTAGGTACTTTAAAAAATCTAGAGTGTAGTAAAGCTTCTTTATGTAAAGATGGGATAGTAGATAGCATGGATAGCACTGAGAGCAAGGTTTCGGAGAAAGATAGGAGTGTATTGTAAGAGAGACGAATCGCTGCCAAGCCTCGCTTGTCAGGATCCATGCTTATATACGAAGCACAGGTCATGTGACCTCCAAACAGGTCCAAACAGGTCAGGGGAGGCCATACTGGCCCGTTCTGGGACATCCGGCCTTACACTTTACTATTAAAATATACTTACTACCTAGAGTAGATATTAGGATAACACTATTTGTTAGCTTGTAAAGCATAGATTGCTAATACTCTATTAGTAATATAAGCTTAATTCATTAGAAATATAATAGCTTCTATAAAGGTCTCTTTATTTTTCTCTAAACTAGCAGAATTATTTATTACTATTAATGTGAATACATTAGGTTTACTTGTAATAAGAACGCTATATAAGAAATTAAGGTTGTTCTCCCATGTTGCAATAGGATTAACCTATAGCTAGACAACAGTAGGTGTATTAAAAAGTGCAGCTGTAAGGCTGTAGTTAGTTTAAATATATTAGAAATGCATTAGAAATACATTACAGTTTATAATATTAAGATATTTCTTCTAAATATTTGTTGTTACAGCAAGGTAGCTTTTTAATATTTATCTAACCTAATAAGGTTTTCAGCTAACGTGGCAAAAAAATGTGTCTTGCCAAGTCACATTAGCTGAGGTAAGTGGACCAGGTCAGCTGGGCTGCGCCCTGAGCTTCCCTACCGATGTGACACACTGAAGAGCGATCCGTGCCTAGCTCCCCAAACATCTCGCACCTGATTATAATGTCTGACACCTGTTCTATCGCTGATCAAGAATCCTTGACGGCTCCAATTTCGTCAATCACCCACAAAATGTGTCTGCTGAATATCACCGTTGAACATCGCAATGGTTGAAACTAACTGCAAGGGACTGGGAACGCATATATATGAGGTACTCCACCTCTGTCTGAAATAGCAATCAACAATACAATCACTTGCTTCAATAACATACTTGAACAGGTAGAAACCCTGCTCTTAATGGAAAAAAAATTGGATGACTATAAGCGGTCGAACTAGGCCCACAAAAAGAGCATTATAACAGATGAACTATGTAGGGTCCACTGATCTACCATGTCGTATCAATTCCCGCTGCTGGCTTTGGACAACAAAAAGCCATCATTTTGTAACGTTTGGAAGACACGATGCGGATCGTACTTCTTCGCGACGGCATTCAGCCTCTGAAGACTTGCAGATGTGTAAGTGTTTAGCGGGTTCTGGTCCCGCGACGCGTCGTTCATGTATAGGAAAGGGAGATGGGAACCTCGAGCTTTACCCAACTCCTCCCATTTTTGCGTAATAGCTATTGCTGCGCCTCTGACAATATCGTCGTGGGTCGGATTATCCCAATCAGTCAAGGTTGTCCACCCTACAGACGGCATGTTACCAAGGTGCAACGCTTCGAGATCTAGGATGTTTACTAACATTGCTGCGCTATAGGCTCTAGACCGAGAGAATTTCCCCCATTCTGGTGCCCTTTATCAATGACATTTTTAGGAATGTGCTGGAGTACGAATGTCATGTTTGCGCCAGTGGTCTCATTCGTAGTAGCAGCTTCATTTTTCCAGACTTCGTAGACGGATCTATAGAGCTCCGAATCAATTTTACTACTAGCGGCGCGATAGTCATGTCTAACCAACTGAGATCAGTGGGGGATATTTTTAGAGTTTGCAGCAATTGGATGCGAACCTCGCGGATACTGAAGCACTAGCGCCGGAGATTTGACTCAAAGCTAGCACTGTGCCAATGGTCGATGGCACTGCTGTGGCCAAACGTGGGATATCGTAGAATGGCTGGAAGACTTTTGGACTTTCAATCGGCTCGATGTAGACAAGTCCAACGATGACGGAGCTCAGTGTGGCGATCATGGCTACAGAACCTTTGGTATCTGGTGAGCCTTGCCATGCTGCGAAGGCGTCTAGGAGATCTGGGGCCTTTTCCGGACCATATACTGTCATCTGGTACCAAATGTCTTTTATTGGCACTGTGCGAAGGTCATATCGTGTCACGATGCCTGAGGAGCGAATGCGTTAGCGGGTGTGTGCCAGCTACCAGTAATGCGAGCAGTTTGATTACCAAAATTAGGCCCTCCACCCTTCAGCGCCCAAAAAAGGTCACTGTGCTCCCGAGGATTAGCATTCACGATCGACCCGTCCGCAAGGACAACCTGTTGTTGATTAAATGGGCTTCTATGCGAATTTTGGTCACTCACTTCGATATTCACGATGTTGTCGATCGCAAGTCCATATTCTCCAGTGAAGTATGAAATTCCACCTTTGGGATCGTGAGCAAGACACGAGCAGCAGATATAAGCCAAGATGCAGAGCAGAACGAAACTTACCTCCAAGCATCAGTCCACCCACTCCGACCTGAGGGACCCGTCCTCCGATGACAGTAACGTTATACGGGTCCAGGTACTGGTATACCTCCCCCCAGCGAGCCCCAGGCCCAACACTGACTGTATGATAGTCTTTGCTTATGCTCAGTTTGTTCAGCTTTGTGAGGTCTATCAGGACGCCGTCTTGAAGACCAGCCCACCCGGGGTTCGGCGAATGCCCTCCACTGCGGATGGCGAAAGGCGTCCGCAGGAAAGTTACAATTTTCAGTGCCTGAGACACTTGTGTGCTTGTTTCTGGCCGGATAACACAGGCTGGTGATTCCCAACACGTTTGCGACCTATCAAAACACCGTTACGACTTTCATGCCGTATTTCGGGGAAAGAACACATTACCAACTCTCAGCCACTGCTTTTTCGATCAGTGGCTTCTCTAGCAACACTCCTGTGCCAAAAGCTACTCGTGCTACCTTGCAGCTTACGTATACCAGCACCGGAAGACTTCTCGCTTTCTTACTCTCATTGGCGAACACCGATGCCACTTCTGGGGAATTCTCCAAAATTTCGATCACTTGAGCTTCCTCGTCTACTGAAAGATTCAAGGAAGTGATAAACGCCCGAACCTCTGGAACCCCTTCCTGGGTCTCGTTGCGGGGTTGGGCCGACGCCATGACTCCTAAAGCGCATTGTAACAGGGTCGCGAAAAGAGGAAACAACATGGCTTACCCCTAATGAGCAAAGTCTTTGATACGGTGCCCTTCTGGCGAAGGGCTCCTCTACGAGCCTCTTCAGAACTACCGTAAGGAATTGACCGAGTACGTGCTCCAACGATGGAATAAATGCGACGAGGACGATAACGATGATACGCTTGATCGAGCTTATGAACCTGACATCAGATTCAAATAAATATGCTTCGTAGGCCAAAATAAAGCATAGCAGCCTGCGCACAACATTGCAGTCAAAATGGGCGATTCAACCTAACGCACATTCCTGCATCAAGAAGTCAGGGGGGATGCGCTTCGCCGAAGCGCTAGAATCTTACATGCATATGCGGCATACGCCCGCCTGTATTGTCAATCAAAAGAGGCAATCATCGCTTGCTTAGATGCCGGAGTGCCCCAGAGGCGCTGTCCAACTGTGCCGCAATATAAATGCAGATTGTGGGCCGAAAGACAGCATTCTCCGGCGGCGAAGAGCGAAACTATAGTCTTACGAAGAATTCTTTGGACAAATGGACCCCAATTGGGCATGAAATTCACCTGCCTGTTTATTTCAGTCTGCGGCGCGTATGAACCGCACCGCAACGGTAACATGACCACCTCGCGAGCAGACACCCTTTCATTTACGGAAGCCCGAGCAGCCGTATATTCATCTCAATCTTATATTTTCTACGTTTCTCATTTTCGTCCCTAGAACGAGTTCCACACTTAAATCGAGTACAATGGCCATTCCAGAGGACGCTGCTCTACTCCCTCCTCCCACACAGGTCAACGACACACACAAGCATTACGATGTAGCCATTGCGGTCATATTAATGATGGTAACTGCAACTAATGTAACCGTAGGGCGCCTTGTATCTCGAAGGAGCTCCCGTGCTTTTCGGAACGACGACTGGGCCATGATATCAGCACTAGTAAGCACATCTAAAATCAATTCAAAATGCAACTTATTAAGAAGCGGAATAGCTTTTGTACATTGGTCACGGCATCATGATAGTATATTGTAATTTATATGGCGGATCTGGTAAAACACTATGGGAGGCACGCTGGGAGAGTATACGGTATGGTTCAAGGTGAGTAGAATTCTCCAAGAAGCAAAGGTAATAGTAGCTGACACATACTACTTACTACAGGGGATCGTTGCACCAGCGTTCACCTACCCAGCGATGACTGCCGCAGTTCGAGTCTCGATCCTCCTATTCCACCATCGCATTTTCGGACTCACCGAAATGGTGGCACGGTGGTCAATATGGGCTTGCTTCATTCTGACATTCGTATATGTGGTTATATTCACAGTTATTCCCGGAGTAATCTGTACGCCACTCTCGGCAGCATGGCATCCCCTTACGAGAAAGATACACTGCAAAAGCGATCAGTTGTACTACGACTACAATGTCGCACTGTATAGCTCGAGCCTTGGAATGGACGTTTTGCTTCTTATACTCCCCGTAGCACCGGGTATGCGACTGCAATTGCCACTCAAGCGACTCCTGGGTGTCTTGGTCATGTTCGTTCTTGGGATATCGTCAGTTAGAACGATATCGCACCTGTGGTCCATACATAGCTAATCCTGAATTCAGAGCATGCATCATACAAGCTTGCCATCTATGTCATGCAATGGGGAAGAACAGGCGATACCGACCCTAGCTGTAGGTACTTCATCATATAGCCCGCAATCGGAAATAGTGCTCATAAAAAGACAGGGTTCTTCACTCAAATGAGTCGAGTAATTCCCCCACGGTGGGATAAATTTGGTTATACCTTCTGGATCCCATCTCAGGTTGAGCCGACGGTGGCCATGATCGGCTCCGCACTCCCTGCACTTCGGGCACACCTGTTGTTACCCTTTCGGCGCCTCTCATCAGCTATTAGCTCTTTCTCGACAAGAAAGTCAAGCTACTCAGCAGGAATTTCGAAGGATGACACCACAGGTCGACGATCTCAAAAGGATTACATAAAGATGGGAGGATCGAATGTGGCTTCGCAAAGGGACTACGAGCTTGGCTCATTGGCGTCTTGCAATTGATTCAATGGTGCCTATTGTTTTTTTCCTTGACAGGCTCGATATGTCTTGTCAAATCTATAGGTTTCTGCTCACCCTGTTTTTCGTAGATATCTCTCAAATAGAGCTGAAGTGTTCTACAAGGCGAACATATGAAAAATGAAGAAATACTGCTGCTGTCACAACTCAGTCTCATGTGTCTCACCAGGACGGAACTGCTCGTGCCGGGGTCAGACTAGTCCGGACTAGTATGCCATCCCACGCTCTGTGGGGGTCGCACATGTTGTATTTATAGCTGGCCGAACCTCCTAGTAGAGAGGCTAGGAGGTCGTAGTGGCAATCCATGCAGTATACTTGAGAGATTTGCGTGCCTTAACGTTAGAACTATCCCCACCGGTTGGTCCAGAGCTTGTAGCACTGACCCCTTCTTTTACAGCTGCAAAATTGGACGACCGTACACTAAGGCCGACTAAAATTGCTCTTTGCGTAGTACCCTCCTTACGTCTCTCTTTTCTAATCAAATTTTGCCCAACTCAGCGCCAAATTTTTGCGTATATAGCTTAAGTATGTGCTTAATAATTATCTACTTTTTATTATTCTCTAGCCTTTATAAGTTAGCTATAAAATTAGCTTGTAACAGATATCTAGCGCATTAGTTATTTATTATTTTTTAAAAAAACTTTACACATAGCTATAGCATGTTACTTTAAAAGTGTTATGTCTTGTTTAAAAGCTTAAAGTGTAAGCTATATTTAATTATTTTTTAGCACATCTAAGTAGTGTTATTAGAAATAAATTAGTGTAAAAGGAGTAGTTTAGTAGGGTCTTAGCAAAAGTAAGCAACTTAGGTGTGTAAGCAACTCGCCTGTAGTGTACGTTAGAAACCCTACACAAACGTGCACATAAACTTTCCAACAAGCAAGTTAAGTCAAGCTGGCTGGCTAGCTTAAGTAGAGCTTAATAAGATGATAAGCAGCTTAACTTAATTACATAATTAAGCTAAGATAGGTGGCTTGCTTAAGGCTTAACTTAATAGCTTATTAACCTACACTATAAAAGTTCTTAGTATTAAGTTTTATAATAGTTACTACTTTAGCTACTAAAGCTATATAAAAGCTTTATTATATTATCTATTATTATTAACTTAGCTATAACTTTGATGTTGCTTAAGCTAGCTCTTTACTACTATTTTACACACTATATAGCTACTAAAAGTTAAAGTTTTATAGTGTAGTAATATAGCTTAAGAAAGTTACTAAGCTTACTAAATAAGCACTTACACTTATAGCTAAAAGCTAAAATAAAGAGTATGTTAAGTATAAGCTTACTAAAGTTAGAGTAGTAATTTTATATCTTTACTTAGTATTTAATATAGTTATTTATATAATTACTACTTTTTTTTACATGTAGCTTAGTGCGCTTTTACTACTTAAACTTATTATTATTTATAGTGTTATTAAAAAATGTAATAAAGATAATAACACTATTAATAGTATTATTTATATTACTTATAAAACTTTAAAGGGCTTTATTTTACTTAGTAAAGCGCTATATAGCTACTAAAAAGTGTAAAAGTTATAGTTATTAGTAATAAACTACTTAAGTTTATTACTTTAAATAGTGTTATTATATGTTTTATAGTATAAATAAAGTATTATAGTAGTGTAGTACACTAGTAAGTTATTTAACTTAGTATAGTACTTACTAATCTTAGCCTACGCAGCATATAGGTTAATAGCAAGATAGTTCTTAAATGCTTTATTATATATGTTATAGTCTACTACTTTATATGCTTTAACATACTACTTATAGTATAAAAGTATATACTTAGAACTAAAATAATTTTAGTAATAGCACTAAAGTATTTACTTTTACTATATTTTTTAAAATACTTTATAGTAGACTTAAGTAGCATTAAAATATTTAAGTATTTAGTAACTACTACTTAGTTAGCTACTATAAGCCTGTCTAATTACATCTACTATAGCACTTTAGGCAGCTTATTACTATAGCTTTTAGTGTACATGTCTTTATTTTGCACTTATTATATATAGTAGTTAGTGTAAGTGTTAATAGCAGACTATAGCTTTATAGCATACTTATAGCATAAGAAGTATAAGTTTTAGCATGTAATAACAGGCTTAACAGGCTCTAGCGCTTTATAGTTTTTCTTTAGCATATTAGTAAGTAGCTTATAGTAAGTGTATAAAAACTACTAAAAAGCTTATACTATTATAATATTTTAATAACGTACTTTACAGGCGAGTTGCTTACACACCTAAGTTGCTTACTTTTACTAAGACTTTACTAAACTACTTTTTTTATACTAATGCATTTATAATAACACTACTTAGACATGCTAAAAGAATGTTAGGTATAGCTTATACTTTAAGCTTTTAAATAAGACATAAAACTTTTAAAAAAAACATACTACAGCTATATATAAAGTCTCTTAAAAGATAATAAATAACTATAGCACTAGACAACTTTTATAAGCTAATTCTATAGTAAACTTATAAAAGCTAGGTAATAATAAAAAGTAGGTAATTATTAAAACTATACTTAAGCTATATGCGTAAAAAATTTCCCTTTAAATAGCATTTATAGCTAATATAGCTAATTCTTTACACGCTAAGTGTAATCTAGGCTATATTAGCATAAACTAGCTTTATATGTTTAAGAAGTGTTATCTAAAGCTTAAAGTAATATTTAAGTATAGTATAACTATAAAAAAGCTTTTTATAAAAGTTCTAGAGTAATTTAAAGTAAGTTTAGCCTTATAAAGAATATTAAAGCTAAGTATAGTATCTAAAATAATAACATGTATAACTTTAGTAAAATAAGCTTTATTATAGGCTAAATATTTATTAACTATACTTATGCTTAAAACTTTACTTTAAGCTTTAAATAATGCTTTATAAACATACTAACCTAGTTTATGCTAATATAGCCTAGATTACACTTAGCATGTAAAAAATTAGCTATATTAGCTATAAATGCTATTTAAAGGGAAAATTCTTATATATATAGCTTAAGTATAGTCTTAATAATTACCTACTTTTTATTATTACCTAGCCTTTATAAGTTAGCTATAAAATTAGCTTATAAAAGTTATCTAGTGCTATAGTTATTTATTATTTTTTAAAAAACTTTATATATAGCTATAGCATGTTTTTTTAAAAAGTTTTATGTTTTATTTAAAAGCTTAAAGTGTAAGCTATATCTAATATTCTTTTAGCATGTCTAAGTAGTGTTGTTAGAAATACATTAGTGTAAAAAAAGTAGTTTAGTAGAGTCTTAGTAAAAGTAAGCAACTTAAGTGTGTAAGTAACTTGTCTGTAAAGTACGTTATAGTTAATAACACTAAGTAAAATACTAAGTAGCTTATTACACTTTTACTTACTTATAAACTAAGTCTTATTAGTAAACTTATACTTATTATTATTATAAGTGTTTTTATTTTAGCTTTAAAAAAGCCTTTAGCTAATAAAATTAAGTATATAGAGTTTATAATAGTATTAGTAATTAGACATGCTAAAGCTAAGCTTTTAACTAATTACTATAATAGCTAAGTTATTATTACTTATGTTATTAAGTATAAATTAGCTTACTATAACGTACCTAACAGGTTAGCCGGCTACACAGGTTGGCCGGCCACTTTTGCTAAGCCCCCACCACACTCTACCTATCTACATAATGCTTTAACAACAACACTAGATTAAATCTTCTAAAGAACATTAAATATAGCTTACTTTTTAGGCTTTTAAATAAGACTTAAAACTTTTCTTATAATACACTACAGCTATCTATAATGTCTCTTACACAACACTAAGCAATTAACGCGCTAGACAGCCTTTAGAAGCAGAATGCTAGCCTAAATTAAAAAATCTAACTAAGCTTAAAAAAAAAGTAGTTATTAAGTACATACTTAAGCTTATTACGCGCAGATTTCCTTTTAAGCCTATAGCTATAGCTAATATAGCTAATTTCTTGCGCGTAGAGCGCAATCTAGGCTAGGTTAGCTTAAACTAGCCTAGTATATAGGTTAAGCACTGCTCTAAGTTTATAATAAAGTTTAATTATAAGTATAATTATAAAAAAGCACTTTATAAGAATTTAAAGGTTATCTAGAGCTAGTTTTGCCTAGTAGCTAACATAAAAGCTAAGTATAGTATCTAAGATAAAAACATGTATAACTTTAATAAGTTAGGCTTTATAATAGGCTAGATATTAACTAGAGCAGTTATTATAGCTTTAAAGAGATAAGAACAGCTAAAGGTAATATAGTAAAGTAATAAAAAGTAGATAATAGTTATCTAAGGCATTAACATAATAAAGTAGGCTATTTTACTTTTTATTATCTTTAAGGGCTACTATTACCTCTCTGCTTAGTATAAAGAGAAGAATCTGCCTTAAAACTAAGTTATTACAGTCTCTAAAAACAGCTAGATAATAAATAAGCTTAGGCTATAGTAGTTAAAGCACTTTAATAGGCATATAAAAAAAAGTTATAAGCGCTTATTAGCTTTTTATTATTAATAGCTATAAAAGCTATAACTTACTTAATTTCTAGTAGTACTATAAGAAGAATAAGATTATTACTATTTATATGCCTTTACACTTATTACACCTTTTATAGCTTTTTAATGTAAGTTATTTTACCCTTT